AAAATTTTTTTTTTTTTTAGTTTGTTGGGGCCAATTTTTCCCTTTTAACCCCCCTTTCCGTCCCCGGGCCAATTTCCCCCCCCTTCCCGTCCGGGCACTTTCCCCCGCCTTTTAATCCGGACGCTTTCCCCCGCCTTCCAGTCCGACCTTTCCCCCCCCCTTTCCCGCCGGACACTTTAACCCCTTCCATCCCCGACGCTTTCCCCCCCCTTCCCTGGACGCTTTTCCCCCTCTTTCCAGTCCGACACTTTCCCCTCTTCCAGTCCGGAAACGCTTTCCTCCCCCCCTCTTCCAGTCCGGACGACCCGCTCCCCTCAAGGCCCTCTTCCAGTCCGGACGCTTTCCTCCCTTCCAGTCCGGAACGCTTCCCCCCTTCCCAGTCCAACTCTTGCCCCCCCTCTTCCAGTCCGGACGCTTTCCCCCCCTTCCAGTCCCCAGACGCGCTTTCCCCCCCTTTCCATTCCGGACACTTTCCCCCCTTCCAGTCCGGACCTTTCCCCCCTTCCAGTCCAGACGTCTTTCACCCCCCTTCCAGTCCTGACCACTTCCCCCCCTCCAGTCCGGACGCTTCACTCCCCTCCCCCTTCCCCCCAGTCCGACACTTTCCCCCCCCCCTCTATGTCCAGTCCAGGACGCTTTCCCCCCTTCCATTCCAGGACGCCTTTCACCCCTTCCAGTCCGGACACTTTCCCCCCCCTTCTAGTCCAGAGACACTTTCCCGAACCCCTTCCAGTCCGGACCCTCCAGTCCCCGACCTTCCCCCCCTTCCAGATCCAGGGGCGCTTTCACACACACCCCCATCCAGTCCGGGACAATGTTTCCCCCCTCTTCCAGTCCGGACACTTTCCTCCCCCCCTTCCAGGTCCCGGACGCTTCCCCCCCCTTCCATTCCAGGGCAGGCGCTTTCACCACCCCTTCCAGTCCCGACACTTTCCCCCCCTTCCAGTCCCAGACGCTTTCCCCCCCTTCCAGACCGAACGCTTTCCCCCCCCTTCCAGAATGAAGGGACCGCTTCCCCCCTCCCGCCTGTCCAGTCCTGACAATTTCCCCCCTTCTGTCCAGTGCCCCCAATTTCCAGCTTTTCAGCGCCATATCACATATAGTTGAAAGACAATTGCGCTGGTCCTGCAACACTGTACCATATGAATTTTTAAGCAGTGTTTTTTGAGACCAGATAAAAAGGCGTTATTTTGGTGGCCAATTACTCACCACTGGGATTTTATTTTTATTTTTTGTCTGTATAAATTAAAAAGTCCAAAACTTTTTGAAAAAAGTGTTTTTCTTACTGAAATTTTTGCAAATAAATATTCATTTCATCATAAATCATGGCCAAAATGTAATCAAATAAATCTTTTTATGAATAAAAAAAAACCCAAATTATTTATTAACCAAAAATAGAATTTTTCCACATTTTTGTTTACATTTTTATTTTAATATTTTATATTATATTTATGTTTTTTTTGTTTTTTTTTGTTTACATACTGTCACCCTAGTAGTACAGTGTCACCATAGAGATTTTTTTTTTTTTTACACTGATTTCTTCTACACCCATAAAGTCTGCAAAAGCAATCATTTCCTCTCTCTGGCTGCACTAGGCCCGTGCGACCTCTCTTTGTTTCTTATATACAGCCTTTGCAACTTACAGGGATGCAGTTGGGGGTGGGGATGGTAAAAATGCAGCTCAGCCACATGTTTTACTGTAACCCCACTGTAAAGTATAAACTAAGCCAATCGTTAACAGGTAATGGCACCCGTGCACATCTAATGTGGGCGGCGGCAGCGAATGCCCACGAAAATGCGCGCTTCCTCCCGCACCGCAATCGGTGTGAACGTAGGTCCCCTAAAGATTTATGGTGCGATTCAGCTTTAGGTAAGGAAAAAAATGTGACAATGTTGGATAACACCGAATGTAAAGTGATGTCTGACATCACCCCGCAGGAGGAATTTCGCAACTGATACCGCATTTCGCTGAACGATGTTACCGCCAGCAATATCCTATGGAGATAATACAAATGGCCTTCACTCACTACCAGGTGTGATGGGGGATATGGACGGGATATCTGCAGCGTTGAGTAGGTGAAAATCTCTCCACTTTCTAACCCGAGATAACGGTGGTAATATGCGTGTGACTTGTACAGGTTACCAAACACTCATTTCCAAAACACAAAAAAATTCCAGAACTGCGGGTGATGGAAACTGTTAGTTAAAGCGGTATTAACCACTTCCCGTCTGGCCCATGTATAACAAACGCAGGAACGTGGCAGTGCATGGGCGGGTGGGGGCCGCTTATAAACGTCCTACTTCGCCGCTTCCCTGCTTGTGTGCGCACCCTGGAGCGCACAGCACTGCGATCCGGTTCCCGCTGAGTCCTAACACCGATTTCGTTGTACGGGACCTCTGTGCGAGTCCCAATCATGTGACCACTGATTGGCCAATCAGTGATCACATGCAGAGTAGTAAGCGAGATGTCACTTCTGACATCATTGCTTACTAAGTGATGGAAATCTGTGAATGATCACAGAGGTCACATGGTACCAGGGCTATTCACAACATCCATGTACCATTGACAAGATGTGACCAATCACAGCTCTCACAGTATTCTAAAATGGCTGCAGGAAAGGGTGTAAAAGCAATCAAAATGTAATGAAAAAAAAAGAAAATCCTTCATCACCCCCCCACTCCTGGTGACACTGTACTGCTAGGGTGATCGTATGTAAAAAAAATAATAATAAAAAACAATAATATAAAAAATAAAATAAAAATGTAAAAAAAAATTGTGAAAAATTATCATTTTTTGTTGTTGTAAACAAAATTAATGTTTTTTGGGTATTTTTTAATTTAAACTAAACTTTTATTTTTTTTTTTTTTTGTTTTTTATTTAAAATTTTTTTTTTTTTTTTTGGGGGGGGGGTATTTTTTTTATACTTGCAATACATTTTTACCAAGATTTATAAAGAAACTCTAATTTATTTGCAAAATTCTATAGAAAAACACTTTTTCCCCAAATGATTTGGACTTATATTTATAACATAAACAAAAAAAAATCCCAGTGGTGAATACATTACCACCAAAATAAAGTGCTTATCTGTCTCAAAAAATGCTTATAAATGCATATGGGTACAGTGTTGCATGACCGCGCAATTGTCATTCAGAGTGTGACAGCGCTGAAAGCTAAAAATTGGCCTGGACAGGAAGGGGGGGAAAGTGTCCGGACAGGAAGGGGGGGAAAGTGTCCGTGACTGAAGGGGGTGAAAGTGTCCGGACTGGAAAGGGGGTGAAAGTGTCTGGACTGGAAGGGGGGAAAAGTGTTTTGGACTGGAAGGGGGGGAAAGTGTCCTGGACTGGTAAGTGGGGAAAAGTGTCTTGACTGGAAGGGGGGAAAAGTGTTTGGACTGGAAGGGGGGGAAGTGTCCGGACTGGTAAGAGGGGGAAACGTGTTTGGACTGGAAGGGGTGAAAGTGTCTGGACTGGAAGGGGGTGAAAGTGTCCGACTGGAAGGGGTGAAAGTGTCCCCGACTGGGGAAGGGGGGGAAGTGTCCGAGACTGGAAGGGGTGAACGTGTCCGGACTGGAAAGGTGGTGAAAGTGTCCAGACTGAAGAGAAAAGTGTTTGGAACTGGAAGGGGGGGAAGTGTTTGGACTGGAAGGGGGTGAAAGTGTCCAGACAGGAAGGGGGGGTGAAAGTGTCTGAGACTGGAAGGGGGGGAAAAGCGTCCAGACTGGAAGGGTGGAAGTTGTCCGGACTGGAAGGGGGGAAAGTGTCCGGTCTGAAGGAAGGGGGAAGTTGTCCGGACTGGAAGGGGGGGAAAGTGTCTGGACCTGGAAGGGGGGAAAGTGTCTGGGACTGGAAGGGGGGAAGTGTCCCGGACTGGAAGGGGGGGAAAGTGTTTGGACTGGAAGGGGGGGAAAAGTGTTTGGATCTGGAAGGGGGGGAAAGTGTTTGGACTGGAATGGGGGGAAAGTGTCCGGACTGGAAGGGGGGGGGAGTGTTTGGACTGGGAGGGTGTCCGGACTGGAAGGGGGGGAAAGTGTTTGGACTGGGAGGGGGGAAAGTGTTTGGGACTGGAAGTGGTTAAACTCAAAAAAACAAAACTGTATTATATTGCATCTTACCAATTCTTAGATGTGGAGGCTGCATTAGTTTTCTTTTATATTGGCACTTTTTTCATTTATTTTCACCTTGTAATCCAGCCAGAAACTCACTTCCTGTCTAAGGCTAGGTTCACACCTATGCAGGTTGCGTTTGAGGCGTTTCTGTATTGCGTTTTGCAAATTTTCACCTGCGTTTTGATGCGTTTTTGCCACATTTTGATGCGTTTGCCTTTTTTCTCTTGTTGCTAGGCAGATTTATTATCATTATTATTATACAGGATTTATATGGCGCCAACAGTTTGGTCAGCGCTTTACAATATAAAGATAAAATGCAACAACGCAGCAAAAGCAAAGCAAAAACTTACTACATGCTTTCCTGCAGCGTTTTCCATTGAAGTCTATAGAACCAATAACACAACTTTTTGCGTTCCAAAAAGTCCCTGACCCTTTCCAAAAAACCGCACCGGGTGAAAACGCCGTGAACGTGTCTCATAGGAAATCATGTTAAATGAACTGCTGTGCGTTTCTGCAAAATGCTGTGGAAAATGCTTAGGTGTGAACGCGAGGGTTACAGCTCGTTCGCACCGTGAGGGGCATCCGGGCAAAAGGCATTTCTTTGTGTGCGCCCGCGCTTCGCGTCTGTTTTTTTAAAACTTTTTCTTGTTTGCTAGGCATATTTCAAATGCAAAACGCAGAAAAAAAAACGCAATACCTGCTTTCCTGCAGCGCCTCCATTGAAGTCTAGAAAACCAAAAACGCAACTTTTTGCATTCCAAAAAGTCCCTGACCCTTTCCAAAAAACGCAGTGGGTGAAAACGCGGAGATGTGAACCTGTCCCATAGGAAATCATGGTAAATGGACTGTAGTGCGTTTCTTCAAAATGCAGCGGAAAACGTTTAGGTGTGAACCAGGGGCGGACTGACCATTTGGAAACTTGGGCACTGCCCGAGGGCCCGGGGTGAGTAGGGGGCCCCATGAGATGCCCCTGGTACCTTTTTCATAGGCTTTTTTGAGTTTGGGCAAGGACACAAGGGCCCCATGATCCCCTATTGCCCGGGGGCCCCATGAGTTGTCAGTCCGCCCCCTGGTATGAACCAAGGGTTGCAGCTCGTTCACACCATGAGGAGCATCTGCGTTGGTTTTTTTAAAAAAATTCTTGTTGACAGGCACGTTTAAAACCCTAAGCGCATTGAAAACGCGGCAAATATGCAATACATGCTTTCTGCAGCATTTCCATTGAAGTCTATAGAACCAAAAACGCAACTTTTTTCGTTCAAAAAATGTCCCTGACACTTTCCAAAAAACCGCACCGGGCGAAAACGTGAAGATATGAACCTGTCCCATAGGACGTCATGTTAAATGGACTGCTGTGCGTTTCTGCAAAACGCTGCGAACCTGGGGTGAGGGTGTCTCCAGGGGTAATGGGGACACCCTTGGACAGCAGCCTTGTCAGGTGGGGGAAGGGCAGTGTCATCAGATCTAGAGGGACTTTAAAAAAATTAAAGCAGAACTCCAGCTAACAGTTTATAAGCCATCACAACAACAGTTTTTATTTTCCTTTTGGGATAAAGATTTTACATGAATACATTTATTTCAGGTACTTATATAGCGCCATCAATATACGCAGCGCTTTACATATATATTGTACATTCACATCAGTCCCTAACCCTCAAGGGGTGTACAATCTAAGGTCCCTAACTCACATTCATACATACACATACTAGGGCCAATTTAGACAGGAGCCAATTAACCTACCAGCATGTCTTTGGAGTGTGGGAGGAAACCGGAGTACCCGGAGGAAACTCACGCAGGCACAGGGAGAACATGCAAACTCCAGGCAGGTGGTGCCGTGGTTGGGATTCAAACCAAGGACCTGAGTACTGCCAGACGGAAGTGCTTACCATTTAAATAAAAGCTGATCTTTGTAAGTCAGTGGTAAATGGTTTGTCCCAACCCTCTAACTGCCACTTTTGTTAGACCCTTTGATCTATTAAAAGAAGTTGAAAAATAACAGACTTACTGGCTGGATCACCCGGAGAAAACAAATGAAATAAAGAAGACTGAAAAAGAAAATGAATGCAGCCACCACACCTAAGAATTGGTACGCTGCAATATAGTACATTATGGTTTTTGAGTTAAAAATGGAACTTTAATCTTCAAAATTACAGCTTCTGGCTCCGCCCCATCTCCAAAGTAATAATAGCTGCCTTTTTTTTTTTTTTTGGGGGGGGGGATTATTTCTTGTGTTTTTAGGGGTTTTTTTTTTTTTTGCAGTGGCTTCCTCCCTGCCACCATTCTAGCCTAGACCGGAATGGCATGTCATTCTCCACCAACCCCCTGGGATAATGTTGTTACATATCTCAGAGGGCTATGGAAGCCCATTCACAAAGTGGCCGGGGGGAACAGAGCTGCCATGTCACTGGGGGCCCGGCTGCCTGAACCTAGAAGAGGCAGTCAGATAAAGAGTTGGAAAGGTGACCTTTCATTGGACCATCAGTTGGACAAGTAAACTTTCATTGGACCATCAGTTTGGACAAGTGATCTTTCATTGGACCATCAGTTGGACAAGTGATCTTTCATTGGATCATCAGTTTGAACAAGTGATCTTTCATTGGACCATCAGTTGGATAAGTGATCTTTCATTGGATCATCAGTTGGACAAGTGATCTTTCATTGGACCATCAGTTGAACAAGTAATCTTTCATTGGACCATCAGTTGGACAAGTAATCTTTCATTGGACCATCAGTTGGACAAGTAATCTTTCATTGGACCATCAGTTGAACAAGTGATCTTTCATTGGATCATCAGTTGGACAAGTGATCTTTCATTGGACCATCAGTTGGATAAGTGATCTTTCATTGGATCATCAGTTGGACAAGTGATCTTTCATTGGACCATCAGTTGAACAAGTAATCTTTCATTGGACCATCAGTTGGACAAGTAATCTTTCATTGGACCATCAGTTGGACAAGTAATCTTTCATTGGACCATCAGTTGGACAAGTAATCTTTCATTGGACCATCAGTTGGACAAGTGATCTTTCATTGGATCATCAGTTGGACAAGTGATCTTTCATTGGACCATCAGTTGGATAAGTGATCTTTCATTGGATCATCAGTTGGACAAGTGATCTTTCATTGGACCATCAGTTGGATAAGTGATCTTTCATTGGACCATCAGTTGGACAAGTGATCTTTCATTGGACCATCAGTTGGACAAGTGATCTTTCATTGGACCATCAGTTGGACAAGTAATCTTTCATTGGACCATCAGTTGGACAAGTGATCTTTCATTGGATCATCGGTTGGAATGGAGACCTTTTACTGGACCATCATTTGCATAGGTGACCTTTCACTGGACCCACAGTTAAACAGGTGACCTTCTATTGGCCCATCAGATGGACAGGTGACCTTTTATTGGGCCAGCAGTTGGGCGGGTGACCTTTCATTGGACCATTGGATGGACAGGTGACCTTTCATTAGACCATCAGCAGGACAGGTAACCTTTCATTGGCCCATCAGATTGACAGGTGACCTTTCAATGGACCAAAAGCTGGGGCAGGGACCTTTCATTGGATCATCAGATGGACAGCTGACCTTTCACTGGACCATCAGCTGGACAGGTGACTTTTCAATGAACCAGTGCGACAGTTGACTTTTCATTGGACCAACAGTTATGCAGGCCATACATGGTTCGAATTCCAAACGATTTTTCATCCAAAAATCGAATTGTGAATCGTTCTGTAATCCGATGGTGTCACCAATGATTTCGAAAATCGGTCGTTTTCCACTAATTTTCCAGCATGCCCGATAAACGAAATGGGGAGGAACCACGAAAATCGGCTCATGCCATTGCCCCACTAACAGTGCGTAAATCGGCCCGATTATTCTTAGGCCCGATTTTCCAATACGACAAAATCATTCGGAATTCGAACCATGTATGGCCGACATTAGACTAGTGACCTTTAACCGCCTCCCGCCCACCATATAAGGAAATGATGGGTGCAAGGCGGTTTTCCTCGTTCTGGGAGGACATCATTTGACGTCCTCCCACACTAACCACGCATTGCGCGGCTCCGGGGGCTCGAGCTCGGCGATCGGTGGTGCATTGTATTCCTCGGACACAGAGGATCACCGATCAATGGAAAGAGATGAAGATGTTGGCTCGGTCATGTGATCAGCTGTGTCCAATCACAACTGATCGCATGTACAGTAAATATGGAAATGACGGTTATTGGCATTTCTCTCCTATCGAGCTGTCACGCTGACAGAGGAGAGGAGAGGAGAGCCGGTAATCAGCATTCCGCGGAGGGGACATCTACACAGATCATCAGGGCACTGTTGATCAGGGTGCCCTGATGATCAGTGTAGCCCCAGCAGTGCCACCTGTCAGTGTCCATCAATGCCAGCTGTCAGTGTTCATCAATGCCACATATCAGTGCCTACCTGTGCCCATCAATGCCACATATCAGTGCCTACCAGTGCACATCAATGCACATATCAGTGCCCATCTGAGCTGCCTTTCAGTGTCACCTATCAGTGCCAGTCAGTGCCACCTATCAATGCCAGTCAGTGCCACCTATCAGTGCTGCCAATCAGTGCCGCCTATCAGTGCCAGTCAGTGCTGCCTATCAGTGCGCATCAGTGCCGCCTATCAGTGCTCGTCAGTGCTGCCTATCAGTGCTGCCTTACAGTGCCAGTCAGTGCCACCTTACAGTGCCAGTCTGTGCCACCTATCAGTGCCAGTCAGTGCCACTTATGAGTGCCGCCTATGAGTGCCGCCTATGAGTGCCGCCTATCAGTGCTATATATGAGTGCTGCCTTTCAGTGCCCATCAGTGATGCCTGTCAATACCCATCAGGGCAAACCTACCAGTGCCTCCTCATCAGTGCTCATCAGTGCCACCTATAAGTGCCCATCACTGCAGCCTCATTAGCGCACATCAGTGAAGGATAAAAATCACTTATTTACAAAATTTTATAACAAAAACTAAGAAAAAACTGTTTTTTAAAAAATTTTCTGTTGTTTTTGGTTTGTTTAGCAAAAAATAAAAAACCCCGAGGTGATCAAATACCACCAAAAGAAAGCTCTATCTGTCTAAAAAAAATGATAAAAATTTCATATGGGTACAGTGTTGCATGACTGTGCAATTGTCATTCAAAGACAGCGCTGAAAGCTGAAAACTGGCCTGGACAGGAAGGGGATTTAAGTGCCCTGTAGGCTAGTGGTTAAATAGACCAACAGTTGGACAGGTGACCTTTCATTGGACCAACAGCTGGACAGGTGACCTTTCGTTGGACCAACAGTTGGACAGGTGACCTTTCATTGGACCAACAGTTAGATAGGTGACCTTTCATTGGACCAACAGTTAGATAGGTGACCTTTCATTGGACCAACAGTTGGACAGGTGACCTTTCATTGGACCAACAGTTAGATAGGTGACCTTTCATTGGACCAACAGTTGGACAGGTGACCTTTCATTGGACCAACAGTTGGACAGGTGACGTTTCATTGGGCCAACAGTTGGACAGGTGACCTTTCATTGGACCAACAGTTGGACAGGTGACCTTTCCTTGGACCAACAGTTGGACAGGTGACCTTTCCTTGGACCAACAGTTGGACAGGTGACCTTTCATTGGACCAACAGTTGGACAGGTGACCTTTCATTGGACCAACAGTTGGACAGGTGACCTTTCATTGGACCATCAGGTGATCTACTGTTACTATCGCTTGCCAGCTGGAGACAATATTAGTGAACAGTAGTACCCCTGCATTGCAAAATGTGTGGTAAGTGAGATCACGAATGTGGAGTTCATAAATAAATATCAATGGAATCCTAAAGAACAAATTAGAACTGTCATTACAAGAGTACAAATCAGTGACATCAACCTTCAGGCCAGAAAAGCATACCATTGGTGAAAGACATCTTTGAACCAAAAGCCAGGCATCTGATGCTTCTTGCTGTTGATACAGTCGGTGTTCCTGATTCTACCATAAAACAATGAACAAGTGCAGTGGTTATGGGAGGTTACCAAGGAAGAAACCACTGAAACTCCAAAGAATAAACAACTGATGTCTGTCTCACATTTACTAAAGATAATTTGGTTGTTCCACAGCCCTACTGGAATAAACATGTGTGGAGAGATAAGACAAAGTTTATAAAGGAACTTCACTCACACTCTGCAGCTTTATTTTTTACACACGTACCAAGTCCACTGGTGCCAAAAATGTAGCACTATTCCTTTTAATGACACCAATGATGGGGCACTATTCCTTCCAATGACACCAATGATGGGGCACTATTCATCCCACTGACACCAATGATGGGGCACTATTCCTCCACTGACACCAATGATGGGGCACTATTCCTCCCACTGATACCAATGGTGGGGCACTACTCCTCCCACTGACACCAATGATGGGGCACTGTTCCTCCCACTGACCCCAATTATGGGGCACTATTCCTCCCACTGATACCAATGATGAGGCACTATTCCTCTTACTGACACCAATGATGGAGCACTGTTCCTTTCACTGAAATCAACAATGGGGGTACTATTCCTTCCCCAGATACCACTGATGAGACTCTATTCCTCCCACTGTCACCAATGATGGGGCACTATTCCTCCCACTGACACCAATGATGGGGCACTATTCCTCCCACTGACACCAATGATGGGGCACTATTCCTCCCACTGACACCAATGATGGGGCACTATTCCTCCCACTGACACCATTGATGGGGCACTATTCCTCTCACTTACACCAATGATGGGGCACTATTCCTCCCTCTGATACCAATGATGGGGCACTATTCCTCCCACTGACACCAATGATGGGGCACTATTCCTCCCAACTGACACCAATGATGGGGCACTATTCATCCTACTGACACCAATGATGGGGCACTATTCCTCCCTCTGATACCAATGTGGGGCACTATTCCTCCACTGACACAATGATGGGGCACTATTCCTCCCCACTGACACCAATGATGGGGGCACTATTCCTCTCACTGACCAATGATGGGGCACTATTCCTCCCACTGATGACGGGGCACTATTCCTCCCACTGACACCAATGATGGGGCACTATTCCTCCTCCAATGACACCAATGATGGGGCACTATTCATCTCCACTGACACCAATGATGGGGCACTATTCCTCCCACTGACACAATGACGGGGCACTATTCATCCCATGACACCAATGATGGGCACTATTCCTCCCTGACACCACTGATGGGGCACTATATTCTCTCCCACTGACACCAATGATGGGGTCACTATTCCTTGACACCATGACGAGGCACTACATCCCACTGACACCAAATGGGGAGGCACTATGGGGCACTATTCCTTCCCCAATGACTGGGGCACTATTCTCCCACTGACACACGATGATGAGGCACTATTCCTCTTACTGACACCAATGATGGGTCACTGTTCCTTCACTGACATCAACAATGAGGCACTAGTCCTTCCCCAAATACCAATGATGGGGCAATAGTCCTTCCCCAGATACCAATGATGGGGCACTATTCCTCCCATGATATCAATGATGGAGCACTATTCCTCCCACTGACACCAATTATGGGGCGCTATTCCTCTCACTGATACCAAAGATGAGGCACTATTCCTCCCACTGACACCAATGATGGGGCACTATTCCTCCCACTGACACCAATGATGGGGCACTATTCCTCCCACTGACACCAATGATGGGGCACTATTCCTCCCACTGACACCAATGATGGGGCACTATTCCTCCCACTGACACCAATGATGGGGCACTATTCCTCCCACTGATACCAATGGTGGGGCACTACTCCTCCCACTGACACCAATGATGGGGCACTGTTCCTCCCACTGACCCCAATTATGGGGCACTATTCCTCCCACTGATACCAATGATGAGGCACTATTCCTCTTACTGACACCAATGATGGAGCACTGTTCCTTTCACTGAAATCAACAATGGGTACTATTCCTTCCCCAGATACCACTGATAAGACTCTATTCCTCCCACTGTCACCAATGATGGGGCACTATTCCTCCCACTGACACCAATGATGGGGCACTATTCCTCCCACTGACACCAATGATGGGGCACTATTCCTCCCACTGACACCAATGATGGGCACGATTCCTCCCCACTGACACCAATGATGGGGCACTATTCCTCCCACTGACACCAATAATGGGGCACTATTCCTTCCACTGACACCAATGATGGGGCACTATTCCTCCCACTGACACCATTGATGGGGCACTATTCCTCCCTCTGATACCAATGATGGGGCACTATTCCTCCCTCTGATACCAATGATGGGGCACTATTCCTCCCTCTGATACCAATGATGGGGCACTATTCCTCCCACTGACACCAATGATGGGGCACTATTCCTCCCACTGACACCAATGATGGGGCACTATTCCTCCCACTGACACCAATGATTAAGCACTATTCCTCCACTGACACCAATGATGGGACACTATTCCTCCCACTGACACCAATAATGGGGCAATATTCCTCCTCCCATTCACCACAGATGATAGGAAATCATTTTAATCCCACTAACCACCAATCTTGAGACGTTGTCCACTCCCACTGACTACTCTGGTCCCCCCTAAAGCCTGAAAGACAGTAAACTGGACCTTTTTTTTTAGAAGGTTTAAAGACCCCTGCTTTATACAGCAGAACACAAACTGTGAAAGGGAGGGACAGGATTAGGAGACAGTCAGGTGTGCGGTATACAAATATGCTGACAAGGAACATTTGGATAATGGAATGAGCTTAGGGATGATCTCATCAGCCTCCTGCTTCTCTTTCACCTTCCAGTCAGAAGATGCGGTGCAGTTGTCCTGTCCCCTTAGCAGAAAAACACCCCCCAAAGCAGAATGTTTCCCCCACCATGTTTCACAGTTGTGATGGTGTTCTTGAGGTCATAGGCAGCATTCCGCCTCCTCCAAACACGGCAAGTTGAGTTGATGCCAAAGAGCTGGATTTTTGGTCTCATCTGACCACAACACTTTCCACCAGTCCTCCTCCGCATCATTCAGATGTTCAGTGGCAGACTTCAGACGGGCCTGGACATGAGTTTTCTTGAGCAGAGGGACCTTGCGGGCACTGCAGGATTTCAGTCCTTGTCGGCGTAGTGTGTTACCAATTGTTTTCTTGGTGACTGTGGTCCCAGCTGCCTGGAGATCATTGACAAGATCCTCACGTGTAGTTCTGGGATGATTCCTCACTGTTCTCATGATCATTGACACTCCACGAGGTGAGATCTTGCATGGTGCACCAGACCTAGGGAGACTGACACTTGTTTTGTGTTTCTTCCATTTGTGAATGATTGCACCAACTGTTGTCACCTTCTCACCAAGCTGCTTGGCCATAGTTTGGTAGCCCAGTCCAGCCTTGTGTGGGTCTACAATCTTGTCCCTGACATCCTTGGACAGCTCTTTGGTCTTTGCCATGGTGGAGAGTTTGGAATCTGATGGTTTGATTGCTCCTGTGGACAGGTGTCTTTTATACAGGTAACACAATGAGATGAGCAGCACTCCCTTTAAGAGACTGCTTCTAATCTCAGCTTGTTACCTGTATGAAAGACACCTGGGAGCCAGAAATCCTGCTGAATGATAGGGGATCAAATACTTATTTCCCTCATG